AAAAATTACAATTTATATACTCAAGAAAAGATAGTATATCTGTAAAACAAAACCAGGACACTATAAAGATAAAAAGAACAATTGAAGAACAGGAACAATCTTAGATATTTAAAATATGATAGACAAAATTTAAAAAATTCTGTAAAGTTTGGAAGTTGGTCAAGGAATTCTCCCAGAAAGTAAAATTTTAAAAACAAAATAGAAAATGGGTAGGATATAGAAATGGAAATTTTGAGAGTAAATCCAGAAGGTCCAATATTTAGAAGAAAAAACAGAAGAGAATGTAAGGGAGGAAATGCAAAGAAAGAGGAAATCTCCGAGAACTGAAGAACGTGTCTGTAGGTTAAAAATGTCTACCAAGGCCCAGCACAACGATGAAAGAGACCCATAGCAAGATATGCTGTGGTGAAATTTCAGATCATAGAGAATAAAATGGAGATCCTAAAAAGTTCCAGGAAGAAAATAAAACAGATCATACCCAAGGATCAGGAATCAAACTGGCATGGAATGTCTCAGGGACACTGGAAACCGGAAGACAGTGAGACAGCACCTTTAATTATATTTTCAACCCAGAATTCTCTGCCCAACCAGACTATCAGTCAAATGTGAGGGTTGGAAGAAACTTGTTTCAGCTGCACAGAGTTGTACAGCAAAAATTTACTTCCCCTGCATTCTTTTCTCCAGAAGCTAGTGGAGGATGTGTTCCCATCCTAAAGAGGGACCACACTGAGCAAAGAAGTCATGGGATCCAGGAAACAGGGTCATCACAAGAGGGAAGTGGAAGGAATCCCACATGGTTTTTAATGAGTAATATGTGCTTAACTTTCATCATGACAATGTGGATTTAACAAAAATTGAGCTAAAATGATTACATATGGAGAGAGGATGACAGTTGGTATAATTGAGTTAAAAATCCTCATCCCCTATAAAAGAAATCAGGACATTTCTGAATCTGGTGAATGGAAAACAGTAATATAGTCATGTTAATTGGGCACATGGAGGAATAAACTGCTTTAAAAAGTAAGGATGAGTTTTATGTTAAGTGAATTTTACCCCAGTTTTTTAAAACGGGAGGAGCCGGGCGCAGTGGCTCACGCCTGTAATCCCAGCACTGTGGGAGGCCGAGGCGGGTGGATCACAAGGTCAGGAGATCGAGACCATCCTGGCTAACACGGTGAAACCCCATCTCTACTAAAAATACAAAAAATTAGCCGGGCGTGGTGGC